TCGGGAGCAGACAGTGGCCGGGAGCCGGGCAGGACTTGGTGGTTAGGTGATGGGACCAGGGAGCAAACGGGTTCCGCAGACGCCGAAAGGAGTGGGGGATGTAGGTAAGGGATCGGTAAAGGGTGAGTACGACATTTAAAGAGAAGCCCTCGTTTTAGATATTTAAAAAATATGCCTGGCAAACAAAACAAAACAAAAAAAAAAACCCGGCTCGCATGGCTCAGTGCTTGGGCATCAGCCTATGAACCAGGAGGCCCGGTTCCATTCCCGGTCAGGGCACATGCCTGGGTTGTGGGCTTGACCACCAGTAGGGGGCGTGCAGGAGGCAGCCAATTAATGACTCCCTTGTTATTGATGTTTCTCTCTCTCTCTCCCTCTTCCTTTCTCTCTGAAATCAATAAAAATCTCTTTTTAAAAATACCTTAATGCTTTTTCCGTCATTGCTGGTTTGGGTTACAAGAACTTCTGAATCCCTCTCCCCCCAGTTTTTCTTAGAGCAGCAGTTCTCAACCTGTGGGTCGCAACCCCTTTGGCAGTCGAATGACCCTTTCACAGGGGTCGCCTAAGACCATCCTGCATCTCAGATATTTACATTACGATTCATAACAGTAGCAACATTACAGTTATGAAGTAGCAACGAAAATAATTTTATGGTTGGGACTTTTTTCGTCATTGCTGGTTTGGGTTACAAGGACTTCTTCTGAATCCCCCTCCCCCCAGATTTTCTTAGAGCCTTTGAGACCATGGAATTTGTCACCAGAGAATTATTGTGATATGGGGCTGATGGCCCCTGACCCGAGGGCTTGGAGGCATCTGTGGCTATAGAACCTCTGGACTCCCTGCTCAGCCAGCCGTGCCTGCGACGGAGCCCCAGAGGGGGAGAGTTCAGCCACTCCGTGGGCCTGTGCTTGCCCTGTGTGCATCGTTACAGACAGCACGGAGCAGGCCGCGGGGCCCGTCTGGCAGAGCGCTCTGGGCAGGGAGCAGGAGCTTCCTGCATCTCTGGCAGGTTTGCACGACCGTCCAGATGCGGAAACGTTCATTGCAGACAGGCTTGCCGTGTCTCCTACGGTGTGCAGATAGGCGATACGCTGAAAACCCAAGGAATCTAAACATGTCACATGTACCTAACGCGTGTGATGTGTAGTATGTATCGCTCTATGCCCACAGGCTCCAGCGGGCCTGTCGGACCTGTACGTCCAGAGAATGTAGGAAAATGGGGAGGTGGCTGCACTGGTGGCTGACTCCCCCCTGGCTGGCAGGGCGCTCTGGGCAGAATAGGCAGGCACTTCCGGCAGCTCTGGCAGGTTTTCGAGGGCCTTCCCCCAGTCCCCCCGCTCCCGGGCCAGACGGAACCTACATGTCCACAACTTGTCCGATGCATCCCTGTTTTATTTTATTATTTTATTTTTTAATGTTTATTTCATAGAGAGGATGGGAGAGGGAGAGAGAAACATGAATGATGAGAGAGAATCACTGATGGGCTGCCTCCTGCACACCCCCCACTGGGGTTTGAGCCTGAAACCTGGGCATGTGCCCCGACCAGGAATCGAACTGTGACCTCCTGGTTCATGGGCTGATGCTCAACCACTGAGCCATCCGGCTGGGCCGCTGCCTCCCCGTGTTGGATGGGAGCATCTGGAAGAACGTCCTTGCTGCGCGCTTGGTGCCGTGCAAGCATGTTCTCCCTTGTCAGACGGTGCTGGTTAGGATGAGCATTGCCTGAGTGGCAGGTTCTCTCATCCTGGAACCAGGGTATGGAAACCCTGTTTCTGGAACCTTCCTCCTGTCCATCTGCCCAAGACCACGCCTCTCGGAGGAGCTCCTGCTCACACCTGGGATTCCTTCCAGGACCCACCTCCCCCCGAGCGCACCTGAGGCCGCCCCCACCCAGGCCCACAGCAGGCTCTTCGTCTCCAGCCCCAGCTCCTTCCCACTTCCCGTTGTCAGGATGTTCGGAAGCCACCTTCTTCCAGGGGCCACACCTCCAGGTGCCAGTGGGAATCGGGAAGCAACCAAAAGACAGTCATGGTCTGAAGCAAAGAGGTTTTTTGATCCCTCTTCCTCGTACCAGGACACGTCCCGTGGCCTCAAACGTGGTCCTGTTTGGTTTTACCTTTTCTCAGGTGCTTTCTGTTCCTCGATCTACTCTATACACAGACTGAGTGACCCTTTTAAAACATAAGCCAGCCCGGCCGGCTTGGCTCAGTGGTTGAGCGTCGACCTATGAACCAGGAGGTCACAGTTGGATTCCTGGTCAGGGCTCATACCTGGGTTTTAGGCTCGATCCCCAGTGGGGGGCTTGCAGGAGGCAGCCCATCAGTGATTCTCTCTCATCATTGATGTTTCTCTCTCTCCCTCTCCCTCTCATCATTTGTTTCTCTCTCTCCCTCTCCCTTCCTGTCTGATATCCAATATATATATATATAATATATATATTAAAGCATAAGCCAGATCATGACACTCTCCCTCACAACCCTCCAGTGCCCTCCCCTGGCTGACATCAAATCCAAACCCTAAGTTGGCCTGAGGACCTCGGCGTGAGGGGAGGCGCTTCATCCCAGCTCCCCTTGCTCACGGTTCCAGCCTTTGTTGCTCTTGTTGGCCTTTCTCCTGCCCAGACGCTGCCTGGGGCCTTTGCTCCTGGCTGTTCCCGGGAGGGTGCAGGGCTCAGCTCCCCACTTCCTGCAGAATGGGCCACTCCTTCCTCTCCACCTTGCTGTATTTTTCTCCAAAACACTTGCTGTCTGAAGTCGTCCATATTTATTTATTCACTAAAGGCCTGGTGCATGAAATTCATGCACAGGTAGGGTCCCTAGGCCTGGCTGGCCGCGGCTTTCCTTCATTCTGCGCCACCCCCTGGTGGTCAGCGTATGTCATAGCGAGCGATTGAACTCCTGGTCAAACTCCCGAGGGGACACTTGGCATATTAGCCTTTTATATATATAGTTGTCTCCTTCCACTGAGAACCTAAGCCCCTTCCAGGGCAGGGATGTGGCTGTGTTCACCCCAACATCCCTGCACCCAGGACAGGCACGTGGTGGGCACTCTCATCTCTGCCCTATGAACGAGCAGACGAGTCCATTAGCAGCAGCCTGGACTGAGCTGTCATTGAGCATCGAGTTGGTAGCAAGGCTGCGAAGATGGTTTTCAAGGCCCCTCTCTCTCGAGGAACTCGGGATTTTGATCTCTTCTCTATGGAAGGTTCCCACGCTGCTTTCACCACTCCTGTCCCTGAATGTGCTTTGTGAATATGGGGGCGGCCCCTCCCCTGCCCCATCCCGGCTGCTTGTTATTGAAATGGCCCTCCCGGGTTCCATGGCGTCCGCTCAGGGGACGGGGCTCGTCTTAACCGCTGGAACCTGCTCGGAGAAGGAAGCTGTGTGTCTCTGTCGGAGGAGGGGGCTCCCTGGAGGGCGCTGGGTCCTCAGATCAACGCAGGAGAAGCACTGACCGTGTTGGGGGAACCTGCTGGTGTGGTGATCACACATTTTAAATTGTAAAAGCAAACATTTCGAAAATAAAGAATGATGATCTATGAGATCAATGTCGGCAGACTCATTAGTCAACAGAGCCAAATATCAACAGTACAACAGTTGAAATTTCTTTCGAGAGCCAAATTTTTTAAACTTAAACTATATAGGTAGGTACATTGTTACTAACTTAATTAGCGTACTCCTAAGGCTTAGGAAGAGCCACACTGAAGGGGCCAAAGAGCCACATGTGGCTCGCGAGCCGCAGTTTGCCGACCACGGACTATGTCATCATAACCCTACCCATACAGCTGAACATATAGATTCTGTTGATTACCCGTTACTTGGTTAATTTCTACTTTATCTTCAAAAAGGATTTGAGGATGCTTACAAACTTACATGCAGTGCCTTAGAATATAACCAATGGCTCATAAATCCGAGCAAAGGGTCAAATAGTTTTATGGAAATCAGTATAAACTTAAAACACAGGAATGCATGCTGATACAACGATTCTTATCCATTGGTCTGTTTCCTCCCAGCCTCTGAAAGGATGTACATTTTTGTAGCCGATCACTCTCCCCCTCCCCGCCACATGTTGAAAAATGTCCGCTTCTTTCTCTTATTGTTCGGGCCTGGAATGATCCGTGGTAAGGATGTGCCCCTCATGGACTTAGCCATTCCTCTATTGTTGGATCTGGGGTTATTTTCGATGCTATTGTTAAACAAACAATGGCATAATTAACATCTCTGTGCTTGTAACTTTTTCCATATTTTAGAGTGTTTCCTTAAGTGGATTTCCAGAGGTGAAATAGCGTTTGAAAGGTTCAGACACTTGTGTGGCCTTTGAAACATATTCCTGGGCTGCATTCCCCGAGGGGATGTCCGAGCAGCCCTGGGAGCGTCTCAGGGGCAGGTCCATGGATTCCTTTTCTGTGTTTTGTAACTTAATAAGGAAATAGTATATTGTTATCTCCATTTTGTGTCTGTTAAATTATGTGTCTGTTGCTAACTCTCCGCATTTTATTTCACCTGTTTACTTGAGTTCTTTATGTACCAAATGGATTGACCCTCCCGTCCTATATAATAAAACCCTAATATGCAAATCGACCGAATGACAGAACGACCGGTCGCTATGATGCGCACTGACCACCAGGGGGCAGATGCTCAAGCAGGAGCTCCCACATGGGGAGTGCTGCTCAGCCAGAAGCCGGGCTCACAGCTGGCGAGCGCAGTGGCGGTGGCGAGAGACTCCCACCCCCATGGCAGGGTTAAAGACCCCTCGGGGGGGAGCAGGCCTAAGCTGGCA